AATTTTTGGGACAGAGTCTAAGTCATTAAATTACTTAGGCTGAGCTCAAACTTGGAATCTTCCTGCCTCAGCCTCCCAGAGTGCTGGGATTTAGGCATGTACCACCATACCTCTTTATAATTAATTTTTTTTTTGGTACCAGCAATCGAACTCAGGACCTTGCACTTTCGAGGCAGGTGGTGACGTCACTGAGCTAAATTCCCCAGCCCCCATATAATTAATTTTAAGAATTACAAAATGTGCTATCCAATATTCACAATAGGCTGCAAATTAACCAATTTCCATAGTGGGTTGGACATGATGGTTTTTTCCAATTATTTGCTTTTATAATTAGCCACTGTAATGGTGAAAATCTGGAAACAATCTAAATGTCCAATATGACGAGGATTAATTCTCTATAAAGTGAAATATAAACCAGCCATAAAAAAAAAAAGATGTTGAAAAACTAGGTGTGGTAGCTTATACCTGTAATTTATTCCGGCACTCAGAAGGCTGAGGCAGGAGGATCACTGCAAGCTCAAGGCCAGCTGAAGCTACATAGTGAGTTCAAGGCCAGTCTGAACTACCTAGTGAGACCTTGTCTCACAAAACAAAACAAAAATCACAAGTAGGGGCTGGGGATTTAGCTCAGTGGTTTCATCGCCTGCTGCGAAAGCACAAGGACCTGAGTTCAATCCCCGGTACTAAAAACAAACAAACAAACAAACAAATCACAACCAAAGTTCAGAAACGTCATCAGTGATTATTTCTGGGAAAAATTATAAGTAACTTTTTTGGGTTATTCTATTTTTTTTTTTTTAAATAATGACCACAGATTTCATACATAAACACTCTGATAAAAGTTCAGAGAAAAAACAGAAAAAAAAAAAAGTAAACGTAACATTTAATTTTAGAACACAGGAAAGTACCAAAGTAGACCATCCAGAGGAGGCAGCTACTTCCACTTCTCCATGTTCTTTGTGTTTCCTCTGACAAGCCCATCAGAACTCTTAGGAGTTCTGGCACTGGCACCACTTGTCAAAATACACAGCTTTGACTTTTGCTAGAGTCCTAACTAAGGCTTTCACCCTCATGAGTAAGGTCCTATGTCACATAAGCAGTTTCACCTTAAAGCAGTTCTCATCTGACATGAGCTGCTCCGCCTTCCGCTGATATGTGGACTCCAGGAGGCTCCTTGAAGTCTGTGTGTTCAGCTGGCCACCAGTAGCTCCATTGTTGATCTCTGCCAGGTAAAGGTCAGTCACCTGCACACAGATCTCATCACTGACAATATGCTGCAGCTGAAACCAAGCAAAGGCAAGCCCTCAGTGAACAAGAAAACACTTCTCCCTGTCTTCCAGTCACTCAACTCAAAAAGCAAGGTAATTTTTAGAAATTAGTAACACAAAAGCACTGTATTATAATCTTGGAAAATAACCATGTCAAAGTCTTCAACCGTATCCAGTGCTTCATGAGTAAAACTTGCATATCTATTTAAAAGCAAAACCAGGTTTATTAGTCACTTTCCCTTCACTGGGACAAAATACCCAACACTTACAACTTAAAGGAGAGGTTTATTTTGGCTCACAGTGTCAGTGAGTTCAGTCCATAGTTGGCTGGCTCCAATGCAGAAACAGCATGGCAGAAGAGCATGGTAGCGGAAAGTTGCACAATCCATGGCAGCCAGGAAGCAGAGAGAGAGAGAAGGAAGGAGCCGGGAACAAGAATACACCCTTCTAGGTCACACCCCGAGTAATCCACTTCCGGCCAGGCTCCACCTCCTAACAGCACATTTAGCTATTGAACCCATCAACAGATGAATCCACTGATGAGTATAGCACCCCCATAATCCACTCACTTTTCAAAAGCCTCACCTCTGAACAGATGAGACTTCTGGGGGACATTTTAGACTTAAATCGTAACACCAGGGCAGGGGCGTACCTCAGTAGTAGAGCACTTGCCTAGCATGTTCAGGGCCCCGGGTTTGATCACCAGCACCAAAAAAGTAAAATAAACTCTAAGGATCTTTAAAACTTTTTCCATGGTTTATCTTTTATGGCATTTTAAAATGATTTACAATTTGCTTTCACACATATTCTTATTTGACCTTTACAACTCCCTGGGAAGCAGGCTGTAAAGAGGATACCCTGTTATGAGACAAATGTACATATTAGATGAGAAAACTGTGAGCTAGCACAACGAAGAGGCTTAGAGAACCATGAAAATAAAACCCATGTCTTATCTCCCAGCCCTCATGTAAAACCTGAAGCTCAGTGGGTATTTAGGAAATAGTGACTGAATTAACTGCCAGGATATTCAGCTGAAAGAGCAGAGTTGGGATTCACAGCTATGCTCCCTGAGCCAGTATTCTTACCAGACACACCATTAAAATTTCTACATTTGATAGCAAGTAGTAGTACTTAAATTGCACATGTTTTGCATTCTTTTTCGTGCTGGGGATCAAACTCAGGGCCTTACACATGTTAGGCACGCACTTTCCACTAGTTATCAGCCCACTATTTCTATTTTGAAATAAAAATTCTCAAGGGAAACTTTACTCATCAAGTAGAAGTGAAAAATAGATGAGAAGAAAACAAAATGTTAATTTTAGTATCAATCCATCTATTTTACTTTGAAATTCTCATAACCACTAAGCCACTCTTTTTTTTTTTTTATATCAGGGATCGAACTCAGGACCTTGTGCTTGTGAGGCAGACGTGGTACCACTGAGCTAACTCCCCTAAGCCACTCACTCTATTTTTAAGGTACTTTTTAAAGAAGTGTTACTAATTAGTTTTAAAACATTAGACAGTATTAAATTTCATATATATATAGGGCCGGGGAATTAGCTGAGTGGTTTCGCCATCTTTTGCGCAAGTGCAAGGACTAGAGTTCTATCCCCCATACAAAAAAATAAAACAAACACACACACACACACACACACACAACACACAAGTATGTATGTAGCTAACTGCACAGAGGGCAAGTCAGAAGGGTGAGTAATTTGAGGATAGTAGAAAGGGCAGTAACTCCAACTATTGCAAACTGTTACGTGAATTAAAATCAGCCTATAAGGGATTTAGATACCACCATTAAAATAATGCTTATTGTGAGATGATGATGTAGAATACAGTAAACAAGAAAGAAAGCTGGATGAAAAAGGATATCTGAAGCATGCTATCTATCACATAGATGCTTCTCCTGATCTGTACTCTTATCAAAGTAGGCTGTGTTACTTACTCCCTACCTACATCCACGCTCTATCCACATCCACTTTCTGGCTAACTGGCCTTTCCTTAAATCTTTTCTAAGAGTGGAACTACAAATCCAGAAACATGCAGCAGCTCTCCCACTTCAAAGGCTGGTCAGATTCTCTCTCATGGTAATGTGAAACGACACCAAGAATGTTTGGCAGATTTCTTTCCCAGAGGAACATCTGTATGGACAAGCTGGATACCGCTGGGGCCAGAGGCACTGTCTTGGCAAACCACTTACCAGAGGACTGGAGAAGCCTGGAGCACATGGTGACTGTCCAGCTGCAAGGAGCACAAGAATGGAGCAGATGGACAGCAAGAAGGGGTGGCAGAAGAGAAGGAAGCCCTGTCCAGCCCTTACATGGTACAGCCATCCTCTGAGTTCTGTACTTAGTGTCTGTACAACTGCCTATTGATACAATGAATTCCTCTCCAGCAAGCCTAGAAAAGGTTGGATAAGTATGTATGGCTCGACTGACCTCTTTTTTTTTTTTTTGGTACCAGGGATTGAACTCAGGACCCTCCACTTGAGAGGCATGCTAAATCCCCAGCCTTGACTGTGAAACATAGCTCTATTTCCAGTTATCAGTGAACTAAGGGAAACACCAAGTGATGAAGAGTGAAAGAAGAGATGCTTCCAATTGAGGAATTAAGATGAGAAGCTTGAACTTGTCTCTAAACTCACTGATCTGGAGTATTCTGTACCAGGTGTGGTGCTACACACCTGTGATCCCAGCATTTAGGAGGCTGAAGCAGGAGGATTGCAGTAATTTCAAGGCCAGCCTGAACTGCACAGCAAGATCTTGTCACAAAACTCACTGACCTAGGGTATTGTGGAGAAAACCTTTTACACACTTGATCTTTAGCCAAAAGACCGAGAAGTGATGAGAAAACCTTTTCCATAAAAAAGTGATTGAGGATCAGGGATTTAGCTCTGTGGCACTGCACCTGCCTCAAAAGCACAGGGTCCTGAGTTGAATCCCTGGTAGCCACCCCCCCAACCAAGTGATTGAGAGTACGCGTTACTGACTCAAGACCACAACCAGAAGCTTCTAGTAAAAGGACTAATTGTGCCTATTGTTTCAAAAACTAACCCAGGCTTATAAAAAGTAAATAATAAAAATAAAAACCTACTGGTTTTATTAGCTTTTTTTTTTTTTTGGTACCGAGGATCAAACTCAGGACCTTGGGCTTGCAAGGCAGGCTGTGGCATCACTGAGCTAAATCCCCGGCCCGGTTTTATTAGCTTTTTAAAAAGTGTTTATACTGGTGGAATGAAAGACTTTATTCTTGGTTGTACCGATACCAAACTCATAAGCAGAAACAGCAGCACAGGGTAAATGGAATCAGCATTTTATATAAAATTAGAGGATTGGGGCTGGGGTTATAGCTCAGTGGTACCTCACCTGCCTGGCCAAGTGCAAGGTCCTGAGTTCAATCCCTGGTACCAGAAAAAAAATAAAATAAAAAAATAAAATTAGAGAATTAACAGGATTTCTCTCTCAGAAATTGTGAGCAGGGGCTGGAGATTTAGCTCAGTGGTGCTACGACAGCCTCACAAGTACAAGGTCCTGAGTTTGATCCCAAGTACCCCACCCCCTCACAAGAACTTGTGAGCAGAGGTGACTGTGTCTGTATGATGATTTTGGCCACCATATGGGAAGGTCCAGCAGCTTTTTTGATTTTCAGGAAGAAGCTGATTGCTAGATCTCTAAGAGCTAAGATCCAGTTATTTAGAGTGCTCTGCTCCAACCTTGGATGGGCAGGCAGGGAGGTACACATCCTTCCAAAAACAAGGTAAGATGGGTGTAGTGGTACACACCTGTAATCCCAACACTTGGGAGGCTGAGACAGGAGGAATACCATGAGTTTGAAGATAGCCTGGCTCCACAGTGAGTTCAAGGCCAGCCTGAACTACACAGCGAGAACTAAACTCAAAAAACGCCCCCAAACAAAAAGACCCCCCCCCGCAAACAAGGCAAAGTACTAATACTTTGCAAAGGATTCAACATTTTATTTCAAGAGAAAACTGAACAACAAGCTTTTTCCTTCTACAGCAGTTACGTGGCCTCTAGAACAAGAATTTATTTTTTTTATTTTTGGTACCAGGGATCGAACTCGGGTTTTTGAGCTTGCGTAGCAGGCGGCAAAACCACTGAGCTAAATCCCCAGCCCAAGAATTTATTTAAGAATTTATTTTTTGGTGCACTCCCCACTGCCACCCGCAGCCCGAGATCCCCGGTTTCGACAGACTTCACCAAAATGCCATCCCAAATGGAACACGCCATGGAAACCATGATGTTTACATTTCACAAATTTGCCGGGGACAAAGGCTACTTAACGAAGGAGGACCTAAGAGTACTCATGGAAAAGGAGTTCCCTGGGTTTTTAGAAAATCAAAAAGATCCTCTGGCTGTGGACAAAATCATGAAAGACCTGGACCAGTGCCAAGACGGCAAAGTGGGCTTCCAGAGCTTCTTTTCACTAATCGCATGCCTCACCATTGTGTGCAATGATTATTTTGTAGTGCACATGAAACAGAAGGGAAAGAAGTAGGCAGAATTAACATTTACTCCTGCCCAGATGAGAGTTCTCCCAAAGGGCCACTTACGGAATCTGCCCCTCAGTTTCCCCATGTATAAAGATTTCATGAGCAGATCAGGACCCTTAGAAAAT